TGTGTCCCACCAACTCATCTATTTGCTTTTTAAAAATATTACCCGTGAAAACTGCCCCGTGTACACCTCGTATACACTCCGTATACGTTATCAGTACATGTTCCCAATATATGTGGCCGAATAGATTCAGTATACGAATTGTATACGAATTGTACGTGGAACACGTATGTAACGCCGTATGTGCATGAGAGACCTGTATGTGTACGCGACGTGCACGCAACGTATACGTAACGCATACGCGCCGTATGTGCGAACGCCGTATATGTGTAAATTATATGTTATTTGTAAATGCAAGCGTAGACCTTCACGCCATTCCCACTGAAACGACGCGGGTCTTTGGTATAGTGTCCGCTGTTTCAAAAATATGGCCGCAGTGCTCAAAGTCCCAACGGATGTGAACGCCAACCATACCCAACCAAGACGTCACCACATACGAACTACGAACCTTACGTTACCTGTATGGACACATGGGGATCGTACAGTATCGTACGTGGAACGTATACGGTTTGTACACGGGTCGGGTTTCACGGGTTTTTACTTACAAAATAAAGCCTTTGTACCAAGCCTAGGTACATTTAATTTGTTCCTCCGTCGCCACATCCAAATGAGATGGGTCGGCAATTTTTTATTTTATTTTGTGACCATACTGTATTGTCTGACATACTGTACTGGGGATATGCGTATCCTGTTTTCTGTGTTGCAGGAGGTAGAAAAGAAGACTGGTCGCAACATTGTTAGCAACACTAGGAAAGCACGCCGCCTGCTCACCATGTGCGAGCGACTGAAACAGGACCTATCCGCAATGATGAGGGCTGAAATTGACATGCTGCCTTTGATCGGCGAGGATCTTTCTATAACACTCACGAGAGCAAAGCTCGAAGACCTTTTGAAAGACCTTCTCACTCGAACGAGGGACATTATCAAGGACGTTCTCAACTCTATCGAGGTACGTACGTTCTCTTCTCACCGTCACAAATTATGCGTATAACTGATAATATCGTCCGTCCGTATTATGGATAATTTAATTCGTATTACAAACACAAACTTATTCACCTACTAATGAGGTATCAACTTCAAGAAAATATTTCACCTTAATTTCTAAATCAAGCAATGTTTGCTCACGGATGATATTATGGATATGGACGATTTCATACGTATTCGTGGGGTTGAAATCTCATTTCCTTACGGCTGTGATCTTCGAATATTGTGCAAACGTAATACGGATCTCAAATCGCCCGTAACACGGATGAAATGTCCCGTAATATGGACAATTTGATCCGCATTACAAACATGCCTTCATCCATTCTAACCAGTTCGAAAAATATCGTAATAGTGTTATACGAATTAGTGTTTTCGATCGGGCGAGTTGGCGTATTCCAGCTAGCCCGTCGCTTGATGGCGTTCATACCCGACCTCATCGTGAGACGTGAGCAATGGAGACAGTTGCCAGCCACACAGTTATATCTCCTCCTGTGTCGGGCAAGCGCCGATCTAATACCCGCCCAATCAAAAACAACGAATACGTATCTAAATCATGTAAAATAGATGATCTTGTGTAAAACATGGACTATTTATTCTATCTGTGGTACAAACATATGGCTTGATTCGTTTGCAACGGTTTACTTACATGCACTGGAAATGCAAGTGTGTGAATGTCGCTCACCTGCAGATGAGCGACATTCACACAGCTTGCATTTCCAGTGTGTTTATATTGTGGGTAACTTATGGGTGTTAATGGCACGTTTGTAATACGGATCCAAATTATCCATAACGGACGACAGTGTACACGCTAAATGGTGAGGGACAATTTTCGTACGATGGCTAGATGTATCCTTGTGCACATCTAAATCAGATACAAGTTTGTATCTACATTTCATACAGCAAAGGACACATCTAACCTACGTTCAAAAAAATTAAAAGATCCCTTCATATTCAGAGTGAAGGTATCCTAAGGATGAAATTTACATGTTGTCGGGCAGATGAAGGCCGATGTCATTGACGAAGTCGTGCTGGTTGGAGGCTCAACAAGAATGCCGGCTGTGCACCGCTTGCTCGCGGAGCTGTTCCCGGGCAAGAACATCAACAAGAGCCTGAACCCGGACGAGGCTGTGGCGTACGGTGCAGCGGCGCTGGCGGCCCGCCTGACGGGCGACAGGACGTCTTACCTGGCCGGCATCTTGGTCAACGATGTCACCCCGATTAGCTTCGGGCTCGGCGAAGAAGATGGCGGCGTCAGCATTCTGATTCCCCGGAACACTCCTATTCCTTACTCGTGTGAAAAGTTCTATGTTACCGTTTACGATAACCAGGACTCTCTTTCACTCAAGGTTTGTGTGTGTCAGTCCTTTTCAGCTTTTACAAGGGAAAAGGGAGGCAGGGGGGCACTGATCAGGTGCTATTTTACTCTTTTTTACGTTTTGCACTGTTTCATTTTTTTACCGATGTACAAGGAAAAAAAGACTATGTTGAAGGGACCAGTTTTATTTGGTAGGCTAAATTCTAAAGCTGGAATCGAAAATCCGATACCCACAACCAGGAGTTGGCTGTCACGATTGGACACTTGTACGAATAGAACGAAGCTGGAATTTGTTCTATTCGTACAAGTGTTTCGGTCGTGACAACCAACTCCTGGTTGTGGGTATCGGATTCTCGATTCTAGCTACCAAATTTAGTCTACCAAACTCAGTTGATCCTCACAACAAAGTCTTTTTTTTTTGCGTGAACTACCCCTCTGTTACGAAACATTTTTGTGATATATCACAAAACAGAAAGACGGTTAAAAAATCGTTCTTAATGCCGCTATTTTTATCAGTGTTACAATCATTGTTGACTGGTTGGTCCGCACGTTACGGTGAAATGGAATGCCTC